TGCCTTCCTGAGCCATCGGGAAGCCCAGGCTGTTCTTGGGCAGACTGTGGCACTGCGTGGTTCCATGTTTGCCCATGGCTTGAACATGGCAGGGGTCAGAGGGCAGCACGCCACTCTGCGAGGTGTGCCAGTTTGCCGTGAAGACAGCCGAGAGCCTCCTGGAGAACAACGTGACTGAGGTGGGTCAGCACGGCCACCAACGGCACCGTGGCCATGCTTGGGTTGTTGGGCACGTGGCTCATGGGCTGCTTGCTAAAGCCATGGTGTGATGCTGGGGACCCCAGGGTGGCCAGTGGCAAGGCACTGTCCCCACTTCTACAGGAGCAACTGGTCAACGACATCGAGAAGGTGTGCTACCTGCTGCCCCACAGCATCATCGGCCAGTGCAAGGACTTCGTGGACTCCTACGGCAAAGCCGTGGTCATCATGCTGCTGGAGGCCACCGACCCGCAGGCCATCTGCACCCTGCTGCGCTGCTGTCCCAAGGCCCCCACAGGTACGGAGGGTCGGGGGATGGCTGAGGCGCTGGAGCGGCTCTCGGCGGGCGCCTTCTGCAACGTGTGCCAGATCGTCATCACCTACTTCGACAACGAGCTGCTCAAGAACGAGACGCTGGCCGAGCTGAGCGACATGCTGGACAAGGGCTGCGAGCTGCTTCCCCCACCGCTCACAGGCAAGGTACGCATGTCCCCAGCCCCAGACCAGCTGTGTCCCTACATGGCACCGCGGCGCTGCTCACGGTGTCCCTGCAGTGCGAGGCGCTCGTCATGCAGTACGAGCCAGAGGCCGTGCGGCTCCTGGTCCAGATGATGGACCCCAACTTCGTCTGCACCGTGAGTGTCCCCGCTTTCCACCTGCCCCCGTCACTTCTAGCCAAGGTTCCGTTTCTGATTCCTCTTGTCTCTCCACCACGACACAGAAACTGCGAGCCTGCGACTCGCCCGAGGAGGAGGAGGATGAGGAGGAAGAGAATGGGGACTCCACCCCCTGCGCCCAGGGCCCTGAATACTGGTGCCAGAGCATTGTCACTGCCGCCGCCTGCAATGTAAGCACCCGGGGGGCCACCGGCCCGTGCATGTAGGTACCCACCCCTGGTCCCCGCTGCTCACACCATCTCTGCCCACACCTCCGCAGGCCCTCGAGCATTGCGAGCAGCACGTGTGGGGCTAGGAGCTGCCCCCAGGAGGCCACCAAGGGCGAGCACAGCGGACCTGCCGTGCCCGCAGCGCTCGCCTTGGCATGACTTTTGCAGCACGCTCACTTTTTTGGGGGGAGAGGGGAGAAAAATGGATGGAGGAGATAAGCTGAGTAAGAGTTAAAAACATATGTATGTGTGTGTGTGTGTGTGTGTGTGTGTGTGTGTCTGTATGTATATAAATATATATATTAAAAAAAAGAGGCCATGGTGCCTTCATTCCACTGTCATGTTAGGTGCATTATTGGAGACACAGGCATATATATGCTTAAATAGATAGAGATATATAGGTTTTTTGTTTGATTTTTTTTTGAGGGGGCTAATAAAAATAAAAGGAGATTTTTCTTTCTTTTTGCTGTTTAAGAGCCGGACCGGCGCCGACTGCTTAACCTGGCGTAGGGCACACAGGGCATGCACGGTCCCCCCCACCCCAAGGATGACAGAGAGCTTAACCAAAGTCATAGATAGTGTATTTGGGATTCCCGTAACAGCCCGGTCCCGGGGGTCGCCGCGGGGTTTGGGCGGAAGCGAGCCGGCCCCGGGGGCAAGGGATGAGGGGGACAGGGAGATACACACGAACACTTGACGTGGGAAAACCCAGGTACTGCCAGTCTCTTGCCGCCGTTGCCTTCTTGTCTTGACGTCACGCTATGTTTTGGTAAAGCCAGCAAAATGGAAGAAAAAAAAAGTCCTTTTTTTGTTTTTTTTTGGGGGGGAGGCTCTCCTTTCGGGAAGGGTGACGACACACAGAAAGGCCAAGCGGAGCCCCCGGGCCCCGGCATGCATCTTGGGGTGGGGGGACCTTGGTGCCACCGGGCTGCTTTGGGCACAGTCGGCCTCTGAACGCTTGCCCCTCCTTTGCTTTTTTTTTTTTCCTTTTTCTTTTTTTTTTGGAAAAAAAATCTTTTCTTTTTTCTTCTTTTATAAGAAAAATAAAAAAAATTTAATGGTTCCATGATTTAAACGACACGCGAGTAAATGACACGCAACCCGGTCCTGAGAGCCCTTTCCTAGAGCCGAGCTAACGCCCAGTGGCCGGAGCCGGAGATCCCCTCCCCGGGCCCGGGCGGCCCCCCGCTCCCGCTGCTGTGCGGGCACCGCCGGTCATAGCTCCGTGATCTCCAGCGGGCTCTCCACGATCACCTCGCGCATCTTGTGCAGCGGGGTGGACTTGGCCGACTCGGTGCGGGCGTTGTGGTCGCTGTAGCCACCACAGTCGGCGGCCAGGGTCTCCAGGGAGCGGCCCAGGCCTTTCTGGTCGTCCTCGGGCAGGCTGTTGAGGTCGGCGGGGAGCAGCGTGCCCGTGCTGCCGTGCACCACGTGAATGCCGTCGGGTCCCTTGAGCTCCACGGGTTGCTTGTGGCGGAAGCGCAGGCTGCCCTGCCCAGAGCTTGGCTCCTCTTCCTCATCCAGCTCCTTCTGGATCAGCTGCAAGAGGATGAGCAAGGATCACCACCGGTGGCAGAGCCGGGAGCCTCCTCTTTGGAAGCAGTCACAAAGTGGCCTAGTTGGCTCAAGAACTGTGAGCATCTCCAGCTGAGTGGAGGACGCACGGGTCCAACCCTGCGCTGAGACGTTTCTGACCATGGATCCCCCACGGGGCCAATGGTGGGAACACCAAGGGTGAGGGAGATGTTCAGAGAGGCCAGGAGGATGCGCTCGGTTGGAGCCTGCAACAGCCAGGAGGAGGCACGGCATCCCAGAGGGCACGGCACACACGTCCCCACGCCCCACACACCCCGTCTACCTCCGTGACCGAGGAGCGGTCCCCCAGACTGGCGGTGGCCTTATGCACCATCCGCTGGGCAAAGAGCTTTTTCAAGCGCATGTAATCATCCAGGACCACCTTCAACAGCGAGCCCTGGGCGAACCGGAAGAGAGGACTGTTACCACAGGAGCACCTTCCGTCCGCCACAGAAGAACCTGGCCCCTTCCTGGCACTTCTTGGAGGAAAGAAGTCACTCTCCGCTGCCCTAGAAGCCCGTGGGAGCTCTGGGCAGCACCCCCGCTGCGGCCCCGCTCACCTTGATGGGCCCCTCGCGCATGATCTGCCCCAGCTTGGCGATGTTGTCGTACTCCTGGATGGCGGCCCGGAGGTAGCGGTCGTCCTCGGGCTTGGCCGCGGACGGCTCTCTGCCGAAGGTGCCCTGCGAGACGAGAGGGCACCTGAACACAGCACGGGAGCAGGAGCCTTAGCATGACAGCAGCACCGGGGTCTCTGTCACCTTCCCACCAATCCTTGCCCTAGGTAACCTCAGTTCTCATCGCCACCCCTTGCAGGAGGAGCTCGATCACCCCTCAGCAAGCCCAGAGACTGGCATGTCTGCAATGCTGAACCCAAGCACCATGACAGAGGACAATTCCCACCACCCTGGACTCCACCAGCTGACTGGGAGCTGCGTGGGTTGCTGAGGAGCAGGCCAGTGCCACGTCTCACGTGGGTTCTGGCCGGGCTGTTCCACAGGTCGGTGATTTCACTCAGGTTCTCGGGCAGGTCATCCTCTTGCTCTGCCTGCGCCGCCAGCTCCATGTTCCTGCAGAAGGGGTCCAGCCACACCGGGTTTGCCCTGCCCAGGAGGAAACACAGGCATTAACGCAAGGCAAGGGCCGAAAAAAGCCAGCGGCCCCTGCACATGAGCCCCTGATGTGACCTGACCCTGGGAAGGGGTAGAACTCACCCGTCAAAGGAGTATTTGTTGGTGTTTGGCATATCCATGATGTCCATGAAGCCCCGATTCCCTGCAGAGAGGCAGAGGTAGGGGCTGTGCTTCTGCATGGCTAGGGGCACAGCTGCATGCCCACCCATCACTGAGGCTTCTCCCCAGCACCAGTACCCACGCTCTGGCATGCAGGACCTCCCCAGAGGTGAGTGCATGCTCCAGCTACACCTTGCTCTGCTTTTCAGCGGAAGAACCCCAGTGTGGCTCACCTGTCGAGCCTGCCACTATTGCTTTTAATTTTCTTTTGTGCCTGAAAAATAAAGACACATCAGAGGAGAGAGGCAGAGAGACTTGCACCAGTCGTGCACACCAATGCCTGTTCAGACAGCAGCACAGCAAGGAGAGGTCATACTGTTATGGCAACTCACACTGTTCGGTAGTACCAGTTCATGAGGATGAAGAGCATGGCAGCCAGGAAGAGGAGAACGGCCAGCACGATAATTGCCATCTGGAAGAGACAGAGGGATCGGCAACATCTGGGACTCAACCAGCACCCAACTCCGGGCACATGCATGACATTAGCTGGAAAAAAATCTTCTCCACGTCATGGGGAGGCCTGTTACCTGCAGAGCCGAAAGGTCGTCCGGAGCCCGAGCAGTGATGGCGGGCTGCACATCCAGCACGTTATAGTTCCTGAAGAGGTTCCTCAGCTGCTCCTTGTTCTCATCGATCATCTGGATTACTCTGGGAAGAGGAGGGATACAGCAGCTGACGGGAGACCCCCCCCTCACCTTGCTCAGGCATGTCAAGCTTGATGACATTCCCTGGGTACTATACAGGCCTGAGCAGTGGCAAGCCGGATGAAGGGCCGGGCAACGCACCGTTCCACGTCCAGAATCCGATTGGTTTCCCTGTTCACCACGTGGATCAGCAGTTCTGTCTGCGCGAAGTTTACCCGACCTTTCTTGTCAACATGGAACTGAGGAGAGACAACGAGGCCTGCAGCACAGGCTCAGGGCATCTCCTGAGCATGACCCAAGGCAGACTTGCAGAACAAGAGACCCTCAGGGCTGGGCCCCTTCCATTAAAGACCTCCAGCCGAGGTATCTTCCATCAGGCTACCATGTTTTTGATAAGCTCTTCTGCAACCCGGTTCCCACCCCTCTTCTGGAAGTGGTGACGGTGTAAACTTTCTGCCTGGGTTTCTGTGTCAGGGTATCCCCTTAGGACAGAGTCCCACTGAAGCGGTGGGTGAAGGTGGTTACCTGCACATCATCCGTGTTGACGATGGCACCTGTGATGTTGGAGAGCAGGCTGATAAACTCCTCCTCAAACTGCCTGACCTTGTCGGGAATCTCATTGATGATAATCTTGACCCGCTGATCGTCTCGCAGGATATAAATCCCCACAATGGCCGTGTCATTGTGGCCCACAAGATCAGAAGCCATGATGTCCACCACAAAGTACCCGGGGTTGTAGGCTGTGAACAGATCAAAGGTCCGCAGGATTCCATCAAGGGTGCCTGGGGGAAGGAGGAGAACAAGCCAGGATTACATAGAGAAGGGTCTTGGCTATCTTTGTGACTGGGCCAGGCAAAGGGGTGGGGGGGCACTGCAAGGGCCTGGACCACAAGCCTAGCACCATGAGCCTTTTGCTGCTTCTCCTGGTGCTTTGATAGGGGGACCATGCTCTCTTACTCCCAGTAAAGGGCCCTAAAGCAAAACCTAAAGAGGAAAGGATGTGGTGGACCGCTCTATGTGTCCTTTGGAGTATGGCCTATGGAAAAACAGGTCCTGGTGGATGACCTACTGCAGCCCCTTCAAATTTCCTCATGCAAAGCCAGAGCCTGTCTTGTGGGCAAGTGGAAGAGATGCAAGTAAGGGTAGTTGGCCATGCTGCCTGGTGGCCTTGGCCATGAGGACACCTCTGGCCATGGCTCCTCTGGCACATGTACCGATGCTGAAGATATTGGCCACCTCCTCGGAGTCATTGGAGTGCTGCTTGATGTAGCGGATCCCCAGGATATTGTACAACACCAGGCTGTTATTTCCCACATCGGCGTCCACAGCTACGACTCTGATGAGCTCTGAACCCACTTTGGCATCTGTGGCAACCCCTTTGAGGGAGAGAAGGAAACGAGAGCTGGAGCCACGCAGGGAGACTGCTGGAGGAATCACTCTTCCTCAAAGCCACCACTAACACATTGACCATGGGCTTGGCTCTTCTCATCTGACCATTTCCATACCCCTTTCTCCAAGAGCCTCCTTGGAGAAAAGGAGACTTCTCCCCGGAGCATCACCTGCTCTGGGTGCTCA